GTCTTTTTGATAGCAGATTTTAAAATACAAAACTTCCATCAGCACCAACATGGAGTAAAATATTAAAATACTTCAAGACATTCCGGCCTCCCCTGTTTTATTTAAGAAATAGATTTTCAATACAGCAATAGTATTTACAACACAGTACTTGTAAACAATAGAGTTGCGCAATATAACACAATTGCCTTTGGCTTTTCAGAAATTGCATGAAATATATAAATAAAAAACCAGCGCCTACAATTAAAATCTCAAAATAAAGACAAATATTAACTTCCTGCAAACCTGATAGTTAAACAACACACACAGTCGATAGAAAGTGGGTTTTATAAAAACACTTTCACCCCATCAGAGCGTCTTTTTACCTCCTCGTTACACAAGCCAAGAATACAATCCAAACGAGACGCTTTTGACACGATACACCGTCTATTTGACTACAAATTACATCCAAACCACCGGAGGAAGCGGAGCTCGTTGTTATCACTTATATCTCCTAACACCGCCCCCCTGGATCGTCATAAAAACTCTTCACAAACGCATCCCTGCTTTGGTAAACGGACACCGCTCTGAACCAATCCTCTGGTAAGGGCTTCTAGGTCGTAAGTTTATTTTTAGCTAAGTGTGACTGGATCAGATACTGCGCCATGACCAGTAGTTTTATTTTGTTTAAGTTAAAAGACGTGCAGCTTTCTGTTATAGTCTTGTACAGTATTTCATTGTTATTATTATTATTATTATTTTTTATTATGAATCTTTATATATCGTTTTAAACACTTTAAGAACTTTTTGTGTAAACGCTTCAATTTCCCCTTTGCAGGACAATAAAGGCTGTTTATATTCTATTACATAATAATAATTTGATGTTCATCTGAAAAATGTACGATTATTTTCTTATAGCTTTGAAGCTATTATTCATAGATGAGTAAAAAAAAAAATCCCTATTTACAATTTATTTACAATAAAAATAGAAGCCATAAATCACAATCTACCGGTCTACATATTTATGTGCTTATTGCCCTTCAGATTTATTCATGACGCTGCACGTCACCTGCTTCAGGAACATATTTCAGATTTTCAGCAAAGGACTGAGAGACGACCAAAACACAGTCTTTCCATAAAGAAAGACTATTACATTATAACATTATTATAGCACTGGTTGAGTTATTGAAATGAGGTTCTGTGAAAAGGCTGTAAGCAGTTATTATACTTGTAGAAAATCATAATAGTCAGTTTAGTATAAATCCAAAATAGTTGGTCCTGGAGGATGAAGTTAGCCTCTTAAAGGGAGGCCAGTACCAAAGCACACCATCCTGAAACAAATTTAATGTCTAAGTGTCATAACATTTTGAGGGAACACTATTTTATTAGGCTCAGACCATCATTCTGTTTGCATTGATGGGTTATTTACACAAAACCTGGTTTTTAATTACACAGAAAGTGAAGGTAGGAGACAGTGAGTCAAAAATGATCGCCCTGTGTGAAAAGTACAAAAAATGGAGCATGAAAGCATTTTCAGTCAGAGTAGCTGTCGTCTATAAAAGTAGAGCAAAAAGCAAAAGTACTCTAGCTGTTAAATATTTACACATTTCACTTTTTACACAATTAAGAAACTACTCTGACTACTACTTTTTCTCTGTACTAATTTCATACAGGAACATCATCTAAGGTGCACTGCCTCCAAACTTTACTTCCTGGTTAGATAGCCATTACCTTTTCTATAAATAACAGGCCAGTACAACATGAGGACAATTTAAAAGATTCATAAAAGAAGAAATAGCCTAAATTGATCTGGTGGTTTAAAGATTTTAATTCTTTTAAGACGGCCAAAATCTGCTATGAATCTGGTCTCTGTCAATCAAGCCTTTTGATTTGGTCTATGGAGCAAACTAACCTGGCTTTATGCTAAATAAAGAAACCAAAATAGTTGTCTGATGCAACTCTAAGATATCTGCCTGAAACCTTGTACCAGAACCTCACTTTTAAAATTCAGGGCTACTTCTTTATAAGCCAAAGACTCAGTGTTTACAGCCAACTTCTTCTCTGTCATGTTCAGTCCAGATAAGCATATCCTTCATGTCGATTCTGCAGCAGTATTTCGTATGTGACACTTTTTTTGTAAATTCATCCGCAGTTTTTTTAAAAGTCTTTTTGAACAAAAATGGTTTCGATAACCTCAGATATTCCCCCTCCAGCCTGTCCGTGTTGCATCTGCCTCTTCTACGGTCAGTTCGGTTGTGAGCGACTGGCTCTGAGAGGGAAGCAGAAACAGAGGAAGGCCTTGAAGCAGCTCTGGAAGTCTCCTGTCGCTGCTGTGACTCTGTGTTTGGTGGGAGTCGATTTTCACCAGAACAAAGCGCTCGGCCGCCCTGCCCAGCTTCTTGTGGGCCTGAATGATGAACAATGAGGCCGTAAACAGATCGGAATAAGGTGACTTCATCTGCCGCTGATCCCTTCCTTCTCCGTCGTTGTTCAAGACGGTCCACTCCTCGGTTTTTTCTAAGGCTTTCTGGGTGAGAACCAGCAAAACTCGACCACCCATGCTGTCCAGCTTCTGGAGTTGGGAGTAGAGCCATGGCAGAGGTCCCATTGTGCATTGATCCTTCCTGCACCACTGGTCCACAGACACACTGAAGCCCTGGCTGCAGAGCTGGGAACCCAGCAGACTAACAGACTCTGAAACAGCGTCATCCAAATCTGGGGGGCTCAGCAGAACCACATGGCCCTTCCTGCCAACTTGAGAGTGAAAAAGAAAACTAAAGTCAGAGATGTCCTGCATGATTATAAACGAAAGGATTTTACATAGAAAAAAAAAAAAAAAACACTTACTCTTTACGAATCCACCGTGCTGCCAGCTCCACGCCCATTCTGCAAGAGTCAGAGTAAATAAGATAAATATACCTGAAGATTTAGCAGATCTGCTTATTGAATATCTATGTTTCTTACATTTGATGTTTCAAAGGTATGACGCAAAGAGATTTTAAAGTCTAATAAAAAAAAGGCGTGGTTTATGGGGCAAATGAAAGGAGCTTTTGAGAGATTTACTGGGGGCAAATTCCAACACAAACACTCAGTGCTTTATCATAAAATTATAAATTATACTGTGGGTAAGTTAGACTGTGCGCTCTCTTTTTGTGTGTATTTCTACAAATTGATTTTTAAGCATGTGGATTTAAAAAAATGAATGACCTCAAGAAGTTAATTTTCTTAGATAATTCAAGCTTAGAAAGAGAAATCCTGGAAGGTTTAAATAAAACATAAAAAAAAATAAAACTTACTCTTCACATAATCACGCAGGAAATGAACCATTAATGTTGTCAGACAACCAACCAGCAAAACACCGACAATCAGGAGAGTCCAGCGCCATCTGCTAGCTGCGATAAAAACAGGTTCAAACATTACTTTTTTAGAAATTTTTCAAATTAAAAAAGTTGTGGCTGAATTGTAAAATAATAATAATAAAAAAAAACATCTTGCAATCTGCTGAACCTTTCAAACTTACTGTCAGATGTGCAAAATGGACCAAATTCCTGATGTGTTCCGTTTATTTTCACCTTCACAGATAATTAAAAATAGTTGAGTTATTAAACAGTGCTAACTGAGCACGTTTGCTGGATGCAGACATTTGACTGGAGGGTTTGTGTAAATATTTACCATCACACACTGGGAAATGCTTTCATCAACATTTTCAAATGCTCCTTGTTTTTCCTAAACACACAGAGGTAAATTATTAGTGATACTTTTGCACTTTGACAATGTTCCAGAGCTTCGTTTACAAAATCACTAGTTATTTCGGATTTGAATTTCCAGGAGGTATGCAGCTAATGGCACTCATGGTGTTTGCAATGTCAATGTGAGAGTTTTGAGCAAATATTAGCACTACAAGTACTTAATGAATTCAATTCGGAAATGTGCAAGAATGATACAGAACAAAATAACTTTTTTAGGCCAAAAAAATTGGTTATAATATATTTTACTTTTCAAAAAAAAGACAAAGAAATACAACACTGTTCATGTACTTATGCTGTTCTTACCCAAAGTCCCAAACTGTTTTGTTTCCAGTTGCTCACACCAGCAAGATTTTCGCTGCTGCTCGGTCTGTGACAAAGCGACACTTCACCATCCAGCCTGCAGGGGGCAGTAAGGTTCCATAAAAGGACTGTTCTATCACCCATTTTGCTCAGGCGCACATTCACCGAGACGTTTTTCCACATGAAGTGTTGTAAATGAGGTGGTAATCCTTTAAACGACAAAAAAAAAGACATTGTTACAGATGATTTATCCTCCTGCTTAATGAAGATGTGAAACATTTCAAAGAGAAAATGTTACCTGTTTTGTCAAAGGGGCATAATTGAGAACGCACAGTTCCCTCATCATCTTTATCCCATACCTAAAGATCACAAATACACCAAAGCATGTCATTACATTAGTAAAAACAAGAGTAACTATTGATATCTCATGTTTTAGGCAAAATAATAAGAGGACCTGTATGCACATGCAAGGTGCCACAGAATGAATGGGGATGGTGGTCTGGGCCAGACTCTATTCAGGAACAGAAAAAAACAACAACAACATCACAGTGTTAATGAAAGCTAGTGTACACCAAACGTCGAACTTGCTGATTCATTTCTGATACTATTCATATTATTTACACAGCATTTGGGGTCTTAAAAACAAATCAACACAGAAGCTGTCCATCCAGTTTGATGGTACCTAAGCTTTCAAGTCTAGATTACACCCTAGAAGTAGACAAATGCTCTGGAGTCTTTTCAGAGGTTAGTTGTAAAAAACAAATAAAAAAAATAAAAGTCATGCCTGTTTCTTCTTCCATGTCACTATTGCTTTGTTTTGGTCTAACATCAAAGAAATTGGACAAAATGTGAAAAGGTTGAAAAGTTTAGTCTTGAAAAACATGTTTATCAGAACTGACAGTACAAAACTGAAAACCGAATAATAGCCAAAGCATTTTTTTTTCTAATTTATTTGGTTAAAATGTCTAAAATGTATTATATTTCTGCTTTGTTTTTCTGCTTTTTGTTCAACCAGCCTGAATGAATTATGAATGAACAAATCTGACTATTTTTATTTTTTGAGTATATTATATATTTCCTAAACATTACTTTGACTATTTTTCTTCAGGCTTTTCGCATATAGTCCCAGTCCCATCCTGTAACTGAACCCATTCATAAGGGTAACACTAACCAGACAGCGTCCGTTCTCCTCGTATTTGATGCAGAGCGAGGGGCGGGACTTGTTGCCCACAATCTGCAGCTCAACATCATTTTCCTTGAAAACTGGTTTGATGCGGAACTTTGGCACTGAAACATTGAAAATAAAATATTGCTGTGTTTTTAAAACATGCACTGGAAAAAAATTAAGAGGCCTCTTAAAATGATCAGTTTCTCTAAATTCATTCTTTATAGTTATATGTTTGAGTAAAATGAACATTGTTATTTTATTCTATGAACTACTGACAACATGTCTCTGAAATTACAAGCAAAAGATCATGAGAAGTGGTCAAAGTAACAAAAAAGATGAAGTGCTTTCAGACCTCAGATAATGCAAAGAAAACCAAAATATTCATTTAGAAACAACAATATTAATATTTTAGCTCAGGAAATGTTCAGAAATCAACATTTGGTGGAATAACCAGGAGGTTTTCAATGGGGCTCAATGCAGTTTTCTCCAGAGCTGTGTATGTTGTAAAAAATAAAAATAAAAACTTAATTTCAGTTAACGTTTGATTTTTCTGTCTTGCTTACCTGGACACATGGGTATATGCTTCTGGAGGGATTCCTGGGAACACACTGTGGACAAAGAGAAATGTGTATCATGGCTGAACATGTTTTGACCTGTTGCTCAAAGGAAATCAACCGGTTTCTTGTTATGCAATTGAAACCTGCTGGTGAAACAATGCCCTCACAAGTATTGCTACATACCCACTGTTGATTTCAGTTTACATTTTGACATAAATGGAAATAATGAAAAAAAAAAAAAAAAAACATATTAAGTGTTTAACACTGTACCATTCTCTTCTGAAGGTGCATCAAGTCGCATTTTGGGATAAACGGTTATTAGGCTTCCGAAATTAAACTTGTCCGTGATCACCATGGCTATCTGTCGAGATCACACATGTACAAAAGAAATCTGTGAATGAGGTGCTTAAGTTTAAACTCTCCAGCTGTTCAAAATGCATGGAAATTTACAGTACCTTGCTCTTGTTCTGGTGAGCAAGAGTGGTGTAATTAACTGTAAACTCCACCTTCTTGCATCTGGGCAAGGCGCTGGCTGGATCATGGTAACATGCCGTCACAGACGCTGTTACAACAGAAAAAACCACAGCGAAGGTGAAGCAATGCAAGGACTGAGGCAGCAGTGAAACAACCGACATCTCAGAAAACAACTTCTGCTTTTTGTTTTTCTTTTGTTAGTTTGTTTTATATGTGGAAAATGAATATTAAGAACAAAAGTAAAGTTATTAATTCACTGACACTTTGTAACTCAGTCATTCTGCATGGGATCGATCATTTTCAAACATCAATTTACTCACAGTTTGAGAGTTGGGACATAGAGGAGGCCCATTTTACATAATTTGTCTTTGCAAACCAGATTGAAGCTCTCTGAGAGTCATCAACTTTATCTCTATCCAAATGTAGATATTGTAACTGTCCTGATTATTTGGCTGACTGCTTGATTTGAGAAATCCAGTTGGCAATCAGCAAATGTTTTGCATGTCACTTGGCTCCAGACAAAATAGTCATCTTGCACCTTAGGTGTTGTCTTTGACAATTAGCTGAAAATTGTCTAACTGGAAAGGACAATTACCAGTTTGTTACAGTGATTTGGCGACTGCTTGTCCTGGCACTGCAGATCTCTTATAATAAAAGTGGAAGATATTACTAATTAACTTTTACGAGATGTGCCAATGGTCCTCCATGATGTCCTTCATGTTGAGATTTGTCTCTGTTCCAGCGCACCTGATTTAATGATTATATTACGTCCTCAAAATGCCATCTAGGCCTGTTAATCATTTCACAGTAACCTCATTCTCAAACCACCACAGTCCCACACCGAGACCATCTCAGTTTTAAGTTAGTTTTATGTTTTTTAATTTACCTGTTTATCCATTTTTAACATTGTTGGACTGTGTGTTGATTAGTTAACTTGGCTATATTTCTACCCGTATTTTATGTTGATCTGTTTGTAATCTTTCTTTAGAAAAAGATTCTTTTGGTGTGTTTAAAACTTTTAGCCAACCTTAAAAGCATTTGGCAGCTAAGTTAATCCTTTCTTGTAGTTGTTGTGAAGTAAAAAGCAACATATAGTACGGTATTATTGCTGCAATAGGGAGACTGTGGCTCTGTGGGTAAAGTAAACGGAAGGTTGTGGGTTTGGTTCCAGCTTTCTCCGGCCACATGTCGATGCAAGGCACCTAACCCCAAATTGCCTACCAATCTGTGTATAAATGTGTGAGTGCAAATGGGTGAATGTGACTCTAGTGGTCAAAATGATTGGAAAAGTGCTACATAAGTTCAGACCATTTACCCTTATTAGTGTTTGATGACAACAAATTGTTATTTTGATCCGAGAATAGTATATGAGTGTTATTCAAGGACAAGTGGAACATGTTTGCAGATCAGAATAAGGAGTAGCAAAGTTTTTAAATAAAACCTTACATCTCTCAAGCGTCGTTTCCTCATTTTCATCTTCCTCGTCATTGCCAGAGTGGTTGTCGTTTTCCACATCTCTAGCCATAGGGATGTTGCTGACCTCTGTCTCTAGCACAAGACAAAGTGCACAGTCCCTGCTGGCCTTACAGCAGAGCTTGAAAGATGCTTCAAACCGAACATGGTTGTCCTTTTGTTCATAAAGACTGTTTCTGATGGTGCAGTCGGAAAATGCCTTGAAAAGAGACAATTGAGAGGAAGAGGTTTATGTTTAGTCAATAAAAACTGAACAGACAGCAAATATTGTTTGTTCTGTTCATAACACTCCTGTACTGCAACATGCTAGCAGATGGTCATGTCTCGCTATCAGTTTTTGATTACTTTTATTTAATCAGTTTATCTGTGACAAGGGAAATTAAAAGTCGAAGGCGGCTATGCTGACAGCAAAAGGAAATTAAAAGTGTCATCTTGAGTGTATCCAAGCGCTACTTCACACAATACCTGTGGGCAAATAACTGCATCGCTGTCGTATTCTATGAACTCCAAGCCGCAGGCTGACGAGAACAGGCTGAAGACGATGCACCAGAGGGAAGACTTGAGGAGAAACATTTTCCATCAAAGCTCCATATAGGAGCCCTACAGCATTTTTCTGTGCAGACTGTTTTTCAGCAGCCTAGTCTGGCAGGTGCATTGTTGCTCTCCTTGTGATGTTTTTTTGTTTGTTTTTTTTTTTTTTTTTTTTTTTTTTTTTTTTTTTTTGGTAATAAATTAACTTGCTGTAATCCTGGCAGAAGTTGCTATGGAAGCAGTGGACCGACACAAACAGACTGAGGCCGTGTCCTGGATTTCAACTCTGTTTACAGCCTGATAAAGAATAAAGAAGAGACACATATTAGTCTACTTGGTTTCTTTTACTTGAACACACACAGCAATATGTTGAGCAGAAAACCTGTGTGTTCTACGACTAAGAGTTTATGTCACTTATGAAGTTTACAAGTTACCCATCTAAGTTCATTTATCCACTTAAAACTCATATAGAAAATTCCAGCAAATAATCTATGATTGGGGAAAAACAAGAAAAGAAATAAGTAACGAGTCAAAGTCAGTTTAACACTGGAAATCAAATCAGGAAAGTTATCTTGTTTAAATATAATCTCCTACTTACTTTGTTTTGAAATCCCGAATAAGTGACACCAAGATTTATATTTCCACAACCCGTCAAACTCCCCACAGCTCCAACAAGAAACCAGCGAGTTAATGACTCATGAGAAATGTGCACCACAGAGCGCGTCGCTGTTCTGGCTCAGAGCATGCCCCACCTCTTTTCTCTCTCACCTCTGTTTCTCCCTCTGCTCTCTTTTCATGATCCTGTTTCTGATTAAGCGTCACCTTATCCTGAAACTTCCTGTTTGTCTGTCTTTACCCTTACAGAGTCACATGGGTTAAAGTCCACAAGTTTTTTAAAAATGGTTTAATTTGTCTGTTTTTTTTTTCTGTGTTGTAGTAATGGACACCACATAGGTGGTTTGTGAACAGCGGGTAGTCTGTTTCCTCCTCTCTCTCTCCGGACAAACGAGTTTATCGTCCTCATTCTTGAGGAAGCAGCACATACCTATGTGCCGAACTACGAGGCGGTTTGCTGACTGGGGAGTGTTGCTCAGGAGCACCTGCCGTCTATAGGAGCTCAACTGGTCTGACCACATTGAATCAACTGCAAAATAATATTCTCTTCTATGGATATGGCCATGCAAAGACTTAATGTGTGGCTTTTATGGTGCCTGAATATGTCGCTTTTAGGAGGCGGAGATTTTTTAATACAGTGCACCCAGGGTGCCAGGGGATACATATTTTTAAATGACTGCTGTAATTTCTAACTTATAGATATTTACTTTGTTGAAACAACCCTGAGCAAAATATGAAATGTAGCATAACAAGCTCCTCCTAACTTTTTACTGTTTGAGAGATCTTTACAAAAGGCCCTTTATTCCTCTTCATTCCTTTATTTGCATAACAGTTCGTTCAAGCCACTTCGATTTTCATCTCAATATATATGTATATATACATATACAAATTGATATGTCTGGGTTATTTTGAGAGTTATTTGCATGTTCTAATTTTACATTTGCTGTGCTTATTTGGATTTAATCAGGTTTGCTGTGATATTTTGAAATTTAATTTTGCTGTCATATTTATTTTTGATTCTTTTGAGGTTGCCATGTTGCATGTTTTGCTTATTTCTCTTGTGCTTTCTCCCACAATTACCTAGTTTTCATTGCTAGTTTAACACGACGCCGTTGCTGGTTTATTTCAATTTCTGTCCATCATTTGCACTTAATAATGACTAAACAAAGATGACCCAGTTAGATTTTGGTCTATCCTTTCTTGTGAATATACTTTGATCTACAATTACCTTGAAGCTCTGGCTGATTTGTGGCAAACCACAACATTCAGAAATCAGAATCAGAAATTCAGATTTTGTTTTGGAGCTTCTAAAAGAACCACTGTCCAGCTTCCTGGTCCCTTGCTAAAGAGAAGGCAGTAGGGATTCATTCTGTAATCAGTAGGTTTCTGGTTTGAACCTTTGCTCCATTCGTCTCAGTCACCATCGGGTCCTTGGGACAGACACTTCCCCCACTTTGCCTGCTGATGGTCAGAGGGCCTGGTGGCTCCGGCGCATGGCGGCAAACCTTTCTGTCTGTTTAAACCGGGGAACCTGTGGATAGATTACAGCTTACTGCCATCAGTGTATGAATGTGTGTATGAATGGATGAATGACTGAATGCAGTGTGAAGTGTTTTGGAGACCTCAGACTGGATTTAGAGATCTATAAGTTCAGGCTATTGTAGCATTTCAGGCTGATGTGTTAATTTTAAGCAACATGTTGCATGTTTGTCAGAAATTCAGATTTTGGTCTTACACCAAAGCTCCCATGTTTACTAAATCAACTAATTGGTTTATATCCACCTGCAAACATGATTTCTTTTGCCCTTTTATCAATAGGAGTTTTTTTTTTTTTTTATGCAACTTCGCCATAACGATAAGACTTGTTCCACCTCCAGACGATGGATTCAGTGGTGCTGCTTCATTTATTCCAAGTTTGGAATATTGTTTTATAACCGAATCCATTAATCTGCCTGCTGTGCTCTTTGGTCTTCATGATGCTGTTTGTTTATTGATATTTATAACGAACCTCTAACACCTTCATAGAACATCAGTACTAACACCAAGCATGAATCACACATGAGACCTTTGCTTACCAATCAGGTGACCCCTTTACTGCTTTTTATTTCAGTGTCAGACTAAAGTGGAAAAATACAACCCATTTCAGTTTGTTTTGTAAAAAAACACCTTAAAAACTATGTATTGTTTTCCTTCACGTGCAAAGCTACACGTATATGTAGCATACATCACATAAGATATATGTATCTGTTGATATTTTGCTTAAAATCTCAGACTAGTAAGAGTTTAAGTTTGTGAATGAACGAAATTGTGAAAACTGGTTTGGGAGGGATGAGTACTTTTCCAAGGCATTGTACATTTAGGATGTTTTATTACCTTAGAGCTGACAGGGGAGGACAAACTAAAACACTATAGAGAAGCTGCATGAGGCCCTGTTCAAATGTTACGTTGTTTAAATTTCTGTTAGACATAAAGAGACACGCCTGAAGGCATTGCCATTCAGAACAAACATCACATTATTCTCAGAAACATGTCTTTGCTTTTGCTTTTGGTTGTCAACCTGGACTGACAGCTTGTTTGCTGCTCGTAGTTCAAGGTTGCATTTCCTGCATTCTTTAAAGATTGCGAAGCTCAGCAAGTGGGTGATAATAGTCTAAATTACACAAAAGCCTCAAAGCTACTTGCATGTATGACTTTGTTGAGGTTTGCTGCAGTAATAGTCTTGTTTGAGCTATTTGTTATGATGTTTATTCTTCTATGGCTTTAAATTTCTACATGTTCTTCTGGTAATTCACAAGAAAAATACTTTGCCACGTGTTATTTTGACATTTCTTGCTTATTTTTATTTATCCAAGAAAAATGGGGAAATCATCCAGAGATGTTCTTCCAAGTGGCAACAGTGACAGCTGAGTCACAAGAGAATGAGGAAAGAGTGCATTTACTTTCAATCAACATGCAAAATACTTTTCAACTGTACAAAATATGAACTGTGTCAATTGTTGTGGAGAACTCAAACATGGATAAGAGGTAAAGTTTTACTGAACTGAATATTTAATGATGAACCAGTTGCAAAAACTGCAGAGGACACAAGAAAACTGAAACAAAGCACACGCGGACTTCAGAAATCATTTTATGAATCAAAAGTGTTTAAATGTTGTTGGCCCACCGTTTGAGCTGCAGCAGAGCCAACTCTTCTGGAAAGGATTTGTGTTGTAGTTTATAAATGGGATTTTCTGACCATTCTTCCTGAAACCGATTTGTGAGGTCAGACACTGACGTTGGATGCGAGGTCGTGGCGTCACTCTGATCCTTTCAAAATTCAACAATATACAGGCCAGTTGAATTTTTCCACCCAAATTTCTTGCTTCCACACGGTTGAGAGCATGAAATTTGTTCAAAATGTCTTGTTATGCTGAAGTGTAAAATTGACTTTTTTAAGCTTTACATCATGCTATAATGTTATCCCCTCATCAAAAACATACATGGAGTGTTGCCTTGATTCTTTCATGCATGTTTGAGGAATTCTTTAATCTCCCATTCAGCTTCGTGCAAAATATCTGGGTGGATCAAACACTGCTTTTGAGATCCAGCTCCTCATCAGAGCTGCAGTTTCCATGCCTCCTGAAGGAGCTGCTGGCTGGTTCCTTCAGACTAGCAGGCAGCAATTGGCAAACTATTGGTGGACCTGCATATCTGTTGAGCTGTTTACATGAGCCACTTCTCAGTGTAAATCTGGTAAAAATGTTGTCAAAAGGTTAATAGAGAAGCGCTGTCATAATGACGTCCTGAAGGCGCAGCTTCACAAAGAGCAGGAGTTTTAAAAGAGACAAAGGCCCAACTAAAGGTGGTAAATCAGGAAGTAACATTTTTTAAGTCATGTCTGACACATATAGCGGTTTTTTAACTATTGAAGGGAAAAAAGCTACTTGATTAAAAAATATACTTTCGCTGAAACTGAGGGCATAAGCACAGTTCTTGAAAGATGCAAAAGTAATTCTCATCAAATAATGCCTTTAATATTTCTTACTTTGCATTTCTTCAACAAAATTTCTGTAACAAATGTATTCATAAAGATAAATTGATTGCTAAAACAAGAAACAGGGTAGACTCATAGGACACAATTGCAGAGGCCTTTCTAGGAAGGCAGAAGAAACACAAAAGCAAAACAAAGGGGACACAATGACAAAGCAGAACCTGACTAAGCACAAAAGTAAAGAGAAGTCACACATCTTTGAAAGAACAACAACAAACCGATAGATTATCTAAAACCCAAAGTGACAAAAGTAAACCAAAGTTCAATGCATCAGAACAAAATCTTTATATAATCTTTAGTTTGGTGCTGATTTTACTCATTATTTGCCCACTTTGAGTCTGGATCCAGACCAACAACAACACAAAATGTGAAATTAATATAGTTCTTTAATAGTCATTTACACTCTCGCATAAAAATGAAATAAAATGTCTATACCAAACATCACAGAAATTACCAGAAAGTGCCAAAAAGAAAAAAAAAACATTACTTACTCTTTTTTGGTTTCAAGCTAAATAGGACAATGTTAGGGCCCATCTCTCCATGATGTCTGATTGATATTTACATTTTTGAAGATATACAATTCTGGAAAAAAAAATAAAAGATTACTTAAAATGATCAGTTTCTCTGATTTTACTCTTTATATGTATATTTTTGGGTAAAATGAACATTATTCTTTTATTCTATGAACTATTGACAACATGTCTCTGAAATTCCAAGCAAAAATTTTGTATTTATTTGCAGAAAACGAGAAATGGTCAAAACAACGAAAAACATGCAGTAATTTCAGACCTCAAATAATGCAAAGAAAACAAGTTCATCTTCATTTAGAAACAACAATGCTGATGTTTTAGCTCAGGAACAGTTCAGAAATAAATATGTGGTGGAATAACCAGGAGGTTTTCAATGAGGTTCAGTTCAGTTGTTTCCAGAGCTGCATATATGTTTTGTTGTATCCAAATTTCTTGTGGATGTCTTGAGTGGGACGAGCCTGTGGCCACCTGTTATAATCCACAGGGTCCAAACGTTCTGCTAGCCTGACCAGGTGCCAGATCAACCTCGACTTCATGGTAATTCAGCATAATAAAAACTTTATTAGCTGGTGTGATTAGAGAACAGGTTTCTGTGAGCCAGTCCTCTTTGACAGGAATAATCTCTGTGGTGACTGATGTCAGTAACACAACTGGGTGTTTCACATTCTCCAAGACATTGCAGTTTAGACCTGTGCAGTCAGATTTTACGTAAGAAGCCTTTCTTTGTTGTGCAAGAGAGTCTGTGGAAACTTTTAAAAGATTTTGGATTTTCAGAAGAGTTAAAACTGAATCAATAGATATTTTTAAATTAAGACCTTTCAGGCGTTACACTTGTTACTTCTCTATCATGTTGTGTAGTTAGAGCTGCTGCTGAGGATTGTTTTTGTGTTAAGGAACGCTTGTTGTTCACGTGTCATCTCAGTGCCATGACTGATTGATTAAACAAAGCTTCAAATGAGGATCCGGCACAGTAGTTGGCAAAGTCAAACTGGTTGTCTCCAGGCGGTGAATGGATGCTGGGTGATAATCTGTCCTCTGTGTGACAATCTAAACATGTTAGTTTGTTCTAGCGTGGATTGCAATCCTTTTAAACCACTGATTGTTACTAAATCCAGTTCACTGCTGACTAAAAACTCTAGCACCAAAGGACCAAATAAAAGTCAAAGTTCAAATTCACAAATCTGGGCATGAAAAACTCAAACATGGGCATCAAAGAGGCAAAAATGATGGAGCTCTGTTGACCGAAGAGGAAAAAAGGTTTATTTTTTAATGACAGAAAGATGCTCAGTGTTGATCCCTGCTGGGACGGTGAAGAAGTTTCAGAATGATAGTGAGGAATGTAAGAATAAAGAGCTACACATGGACAGACATCATGTTAAAAATAGAGGTCTAAAAACAAAAAAAGCATCTATAATTAAAGCAGTGGTCTCAAACTGCAGTTCTCGAAGTCCAGAGTTCTGCCATTTTTAGATGTGTCGCCTCTTGTCCTACAAACGTGAATTAAACGGTGAAAATGCCTCAGTAGGAAACAACCAGAGCTCTTCTAATGAGCTAATGTTGGAGCCAGGTGTGTCGAAGCAGACAAACACCTAAACGTTGCCGGACACCGCTCGTTGAGTCTACGTTGTTTTTAGCAAAGGACCCTACATTAATCAGTGACCAATAAAGATTAGTGGTTTGTAAACATGGGAAAAAAACTAAACAATTAGTAAAATCAGAAAATACAATTCTACATAAAAATAAACAGCCAACATGACTCTGAATATTTGTGCTCAATTCTCTTTAGTTATTTAATGTTCTGTGTTGTTCTTCAACCCCTAATTATTTGACGAAATAGATTATAATAATATCGCAATATATATGACATATAGTAATATCTATTAATTTTCTCTCCACTATATTTACTTTTATAATTCTTCTGTAAAAGTATTAAATACTGTAATGTTTAAACAGTCAGTCAACACCGACTGTGATGTATAAAGAAAGCCATGCTGCCACCTACAGGAGGAGCAGGTAAAGACGAGATGGAGGAAATACATTTTTAAAATTGCATATGCTTTGGTTTCACACTGACTTCACAATTTAGCATTTTTTCTTATATATAACCATTTTTTCAGCCCAAATAATAAATTGCTTATTTATTATTTGGGCTGTGTTCCAGAGGAAAAAAGTGGATGAATGTTAAAAGCTCTAATCAGCCGATATTTTAGTTTCTCCATTTCATTTTGTCAGGTCAGGGTTTTGATTTGTCAATATTTTAGTTGAGTGTCTGTTTTTCTAGAGTAGGCGTGAATGAATAGTTGAAACAAGAAGAAAAATGACTTAGACTCACGCAATAAAATTCTTTTCAGATTTAATAAAGCAGATGCCATGCTCATCAAATTATCAAGTGGTTGTGACGCCAAAAAAAATCAACATAACCATAGATCACACAACAAAAGTGTCAATTGTGAACTGTTTTTATGTTCTGACTTATCAAGGTCTTATTTTTGATGGGTAAGAATTACACATCGAATTATCAAGTGCAATAAAGACTTGTAAAGAAACAGCTTTTAAGAACTTCAAGAACCTTTGAAACAGAAGCTAATTTTAGCATCTTCATTGTTAGTCAGGCACATTATCTCACAGTGCCAACAAATCCTTGTATCTGTTCTTTGTGTGTTTAGTTTTTTCTTTACAGACCATTTCAAATAAATGAATGAAACATGTTGATTGCCAACTAGTAAAAACTTAGTTGATTCGTTCAACATACAGGGTATCAAACTTACACTGTTGGATTGTCACCAGACCCAATCAACCTTTACATTAGATAATTGTTTCGACAGTTGTTAATGTTTACATTTCTTTTTGTCTTTTATGGGGTAGATAAAAAGACAAATGTGTTCACTATTCTTCACTGCGCTGCCTGGCCAATAAAAAAGCAGATTGTAATGTTTTTGGCACTTTTTACTTCATACCTTGGTTATTTCTAAAATAATTTTCTACATTATTTCATGAAATAAGCTGATTTGAATTGAATTCAGCCATTGAAGAGTTATACAACATAAAAAGGCAGAGGTTTTCCTAGGATAAGGAGATTCATGGTGAACCAGCACTGCACAGTCACAGGAGACGCCACACTGTAGTCAGTTGCGAATGAACTGAAAAAAAAAAAACAGGAGTTTAAACACAGTCTGATTGTTGCTCTAATAAATAAATTTAAAAATACAGAAAAAAAAAAACTTACCTGAACACTGGACTATCAAATCTGCCTGGGATCTTCAGTAATGTTTGGGATGGGTGTGATTCCACCGTATAATTAGCAGGTGTTGAAACTACAAAAACCAGAACAAAAACAACACAAGCTTTCAAAACTTTGGCTCTTTAAGCATCATGAAAAAATTACACAACTGTAATTTCAAAGAGCCAAATGGCAAGGAACATTCATAAAATAAACTGCTGAAATAAAAATGTTATTAAACAAAAGAAAAATCTGTATTTGACACAGAAGGGTAAACATACTCACCTAGAATCCCATCAGTGTCGCTGCCAGATGGTCTCTTTTTTAAAACAGGCCAAAGGAATTTGTTGCCGTCCCTCTGATGAACTAAGACGACGATGTGCAAGTCTTCTGCCAAAACATCTGTTTCTTGACCTCGAGGGGTCACTGTAACACTAGAAGAGGAGAAAAACAAAATCACAACCAGCTTTTTCCCTTCCTACACCTTCAAACCCAAGACAGTTCTGCCTCAGTCAACATGGGGATGAAACCCAAGGCATGCATGCTTTTCATAAATCCTATATGAAATATTACAACCAATGAAAGAATGCTTTTATATTGTCTGGTATGTAAGTTTTATGTATATCAAAAGGAGTTCATTCATAGTTGAGCTTGATCAGTGATCTTAATCTCCTGCACTTTATCTTATTTTTAAATCTCAATTACCACCAATAAAAACTTTATTGCTTTAAATTTATAGTTGAGAACAATATAGGTAAATGAATTCAAACGTTCTTTTAAAGGCATGATTCTTATCCATGACAAAAACACAAAGGAACAGAGAGCACACTCAGCGAGACATGAAATGCAAAATAGTTTTTAATTGCATTTTGACTGCTGGGATCTTAATATCTTTGTATATATCAAATAATTCTGTGGAGAAATTACTCATTAGCCGAATGTCAGGGATCTGGCTGCATGTGTCGTGTTTGTGTGGCAGGGCTGAGCAGCGATCGCTCACACAGCTGCTTCTAATCAGTCCAACAGGAGCTTAAGAGGAGCTGGCTGCCAGTCATTCAGCACCTGAATGCGACCACAGTGGTGTTTAGCCAGCTGTGTCTCTTCGTAGAGTGTCCTGGTTGGTGTTCCTCCTAGCCTCATATTAACCTTGTAATCTGGGCCGACGTTACGTCTTGAGTTACTTCCTGGCTCATTCTCCTATTGACACCTCTTAGCTTGTCAATCAAAACCTTCTCATGCAAAAATCTCTCTCCTCATTTCCTCTAATCCTCCACCCTCCAATGCTTGGCTGTTTACCCGACTGACCCCACTAAGGGACAAGGGTGTTAAGAAAATGGATGGAACCTTTACTAATCTCATCCTGCAGAATTATTCTTATTATTCGCCCTGCTCACTTTTCATCCTTTCTCTCACCTCATGTTAAAGGATTTCCCTTTGACTGAGACATTTGCAGCTACATCCTGTATTATAATAAACTTGTTAATTTAGGGTCTTAGTTAAGCCACTCCACCAAATTAAGTTCCAATGCTCCAGCTAATAACCAGTAAATTGGACCAATCTGAGCTAGCGACAATAAACACATCAATCTGCAGCTTTGTAATAAAAATATATACATAATTTGCTGTTGAGATTTTGGCAAAAACCAGACATGCCTATAATAAGATAAAGGGCAGTCATAAACAATGATGTGCTGATTTCAAGGACACCACAAGTTGTGGTTTTGGAAACATTTAAACTTGTAAATTTTTACAATAATTACAATTCATGGTCACCTTCCAGCTTGGATGGGATTCTGTCCAGTGATCTGGATAATAGACCCTCCCTGCAGGGCCCAGATTCCCTCGGGGTTGATGTCAATATAATGGCCACTTTGAACTTGGATGAGAATTTTTCTGAAGCCCCCATTTGTCACTGGATTAAGCGCGCCATTTATGTATATGCCTGATTTGAAAGAAATAACACTAAATCACAAATCCAGCGACAAAATGAAAAATCAAACCTCAGAGACAGTTACAGATTAAAAACAGTTTGAGGACCGATTCTTGGAAAAAATAAATGACACTACTCACTCTTGCTGGGATGATGAAAAAGTTTAAGAACATGAAATCCAGGCACGTCAAAGCAAACGGGAGCAGACTGATTCTCAGTCTTAAACAGAAACCGGTGACTGATAAGTGCTGAAGGGGAGACAGAGACAAAGTTGAATAAAACTGTGGGCTTCCCAAACTTTTCCACATTTTGTCACATTACAGCCATAATCCTCAAGGTGCTTTGTGATCTGATGTGATATTTTCTCACAGTGTCATACATGACTGCGGGGTGAAATAAAATTCATAAATGATTTATTTTTGCAAATCTGAAATTGTGACGCTCCTTCGTTTTCAGCCCTGTCTGAGTTGATGCTTTTCTTTCTACTTTCTACTAGATTTGCACATCTAGAGTGATTTTTTTTGCCAATTCTTCTTGGCTAAATAGCTCAAACTTTAGACATTGTGTTATAACTAAACCCTCCTTTAAGCATGTTCACAACCTGCTTCCTGGCCAATTTATTTTGATTTATTTTCTTTCACTTCACACTTATGTTGCATTTTCTGTTGCTCTACCACATTCTCACTTAGGCTTATAACATCGTACACGTAGTGGAAGTTTAACAAAAAGTTAAAAGGTAATTTCAGCATATTCACACTCAAGCTTGGACATAAACTAGACATAAACTATTTCTACATGCTTTCTTATTTTTTGACAACTGACTACAAGTATGTTTTTAACCATTACTCTATACTGAATACCATTATCTGCATCATAATGCAATACAAATTGACAAGGTGTTTTGGAGCAATATGTTCTTTGGAAATAATGACAGAAATGTTCCTTCATGCCATAATTTAAATTTTGTCATTCTGTGCATAGTACATTGATCAAGTTCTTACAAAGTGAAATACTGGCACAACAGAAGTGTGAAAACTAAATATTTCACATATCTGTGCATGTAACAAAAAATTCTGTAAAAATGCAAAAATAAAAAAATAAAAAAATAAAAAAAACTTGCAACACAAGAAAAGTATCATTTGCCTTTTTTTGGCATATTCAGTCTGTCATTGGTACACTTTTCTGTTCAGAAAATGCTAAGTTTATCAGTAAACAGAAGAACATTTTGTTTGGTGTTTAAAACAGAGCTGATTCATGCGTAAAGGTAGTAAATCCAGAAAACTCAACTTTTCCTATAAAACCAATGTTAAAAAAAACAACATTAAGTGCAAATTTAAAAGAATAAACTACAATAATCCAAATATGGAAGGAATCTTGATTTGAGACCCGATTAGGAACAAGGGTGTAAGAAAATGGATGGATGGATCTTGATTTGAAACAGTCTGCTGTGGGGTTCTGTGTATTTATTTTTTGTTTTTTTTCTGTGTCCTGTTCCCCTGTGAGTCTCTGTGATGTCCTGTCCTCCCTGTTGATTGATCCCATCTGTGTCTAGTTCCCCGATTGCCCTCCCTGTGTATTTAAACCCACCTGTTGTCTTTGTTCCTTGTCGGGTCTTCGTCATACGTTCGTCTCATGTCAGATGTTTAAAATAAATGTTTATGTCTGTTCTCCTCGTTGTTCACCAGTGCTGCATCCGTGTATCATTTCTTGTGGACATTTATCATAAAATCTTCATTTCAACATGTCGTCCTGGGATCACCTGCGTCTTCCTCACCATTTACAACCGCAAATCATGACATCTACAAGCTTACACTGATTGAATGTTTGATAAGTTAACTTTTCTCAGTACGATCATCAGCAAGTGATGTTTTTCTTTTCCAAGGAACCTAAAGACTTGGTGATGAACACAATCAAAGAGTTGGATGCAAAATGTTTTCTTGTTTTTCTTCCACATGTTGGGATTTGGTTTTCTTGTATTTTCTGTCAAGATTTTATCTTTGTTGTAGCTGGAAACTACTAAAGACATTCTATATAATGTCGATTATAACAATTTTTTTTAACTTCATAACATTTATATCATACCCACCAGGAGGATCAAAACCAGGAGAACCAGGAGAACCTGGTGGAGCGAAACCAGGATGACCTGGAGGACCAGGAGGAGCGAAACCAGGAGAACCAGGAGAATCAGGAGGACCAAAACCAGGAGGACCAAGAGGAACGTAACCAGGAGGACCTGGAGGTGCAAAAGCAGGAGGACCAGGAAGATTAAAACCTGGAGAACTTGGAAGATCAAAACCTGGAGGACCTGGAGGAGGTGGAAGACCAGGAAGACCAAAACCTGGAGGAGGTGGAGGAGGTGGAAGACCTGGAAGACCAAAACCTGGAGGACCTGGAGGAGGTGGAAGACCAGGAAGACCAAAACCTGGAGGAGGTGGAGGAGGTGGAAGACCAAAATCTGGAGGAGGTGGAGGACCAGGAAGACCAAAATCTGGAGGACCAGGAAGACCAAAACCTGGAGGAGGTGGAGGACCAGGAAGACCAAAACCTGGAGGAGGTGGAAGACTAGAAAGACCAAAACCTGGAGGAGGTGGAGGACCAGGAAGACCAACTCCAAAGCCTATCAATTAAATAAATACATCAAAAATAAAGCACAGTCCTTGTGGATCTATAAAGTTTTATAAAACAAAATCTAAAATAAATGTTTATGAAGTGTACTGTTTTACACAGACACAAATGAAATTAAAACTATTATAAAGCACTAAAATGTACATTATACTGTCAATTTCATAATAATATAATAATAGAAACCAGTTGAAAACAGAAAACATTTTATACTCGTTGTCTGATGTTAAACCAGACTTCACCCTTCCTATTTAAAGTCAGTTAGGATTGCCAACATTATTTTTATTTCTTGAAAAAAAAATGCCAAAAGTGTGGAGGAGAAGTGTGCTGATGCCAATTGTCAAGAATAATAGAGATGAATAAAGTTACAGCAACTACAGAGGAATAACGTTAACGGGTCATTCAATGAAGTTGTGGGAAAGAGATGTTGAAGCTGACTGAGGTTAGAAGTGAGCATCTGGTTTCATGCCAATAAAAAGCACTACAGATGCAGTCTTTGCTTTGAGGATGTTGACAGATGATGAATATAAGAGGGAGGAGCTGCATTGTGTTTTTTTAGATGTAGAGAAAGCAGCAGTTATGGTCAATAGTCCAGAGCAATGGCAAGAGTGGAAAAGTGATGAAACGTATCCAAGCAGGTTGCAGTGGATAGAGAAAATTGATAGAGGTGATGTGTGATAAAAAAGAGTTGAGAATGAAAGAAAAGGTTTACAAGTTGGTGGTGAGACCAGGAATGTTCTTTGATTTACAGACAGTGACAATGACAAAGAGACAGGAGACCGAGACGGGTAGCACTAAGGAAGTTTTCTTTGGGAATGACAAGGCTGGATAAGATCAGGAGTGATCTCATCAGTTCATGTCAGATGTGTAGGAGATAAAGTCAGAGAATCCAGCCTGAGATGGTTTGGACATGCACAGAAAGGGGTTGTGAGTTTAACGGTAGAAAGATGCTGAGGAGGGAAATGCCAAGCTGGTGGTCAAGAGGCCAGAGGAGAGTTATGGAATGAGTGTAACAAGGCATTAAGGTAGTTGGCATGAGAAAAGACGATGAAAACGGGGTTAAATGAAGACGGATGACTTGCTGCGGCCAACCCTGAAGGGAAAATCCAAAAGGAGAAAGATTTCTATTTGTTGAAAGCCAAAATATTAAAATATTCTTTGGGAGAAATTTTTGTGACTTTCTTCAAATTCAAAAGATTGAATCTATTTTCTTAGCATTTGGTACGATTGTCTTTTAAACTATATTACTTGGGACAATTGTTTGGGGATCCATCAAGAAGCTTCTCTCAATAGTTTGGTGAAATTTTGGCCCATTGGGGTTGAGTTATTGGTGTGGCTCAATCAGGTTGGTAGATTGCTGTGCATTCACACTCCTTTAGCTCTACTCAGATTTTCTCTGGCACTAATAGCAAAGCATTATTGACTTTGCTGCCATTTGGCCACATTCTAACTAATTTTGTGCATGCTTCATAGAATATTTGGAAAATTAAACTGATGTACAAATCCAATATTTCTGGCATTCAGCAAATAGAAATACATTCCTTAATTCTAACTGACCTAAAACAAGCTTTTTGGTTGGATGCTGTAGCATAGCAGAGATCCAGAAGGAGGCTGTGAGTGGTGCGCACATGAGAGTGATTGACAGCGCTAAGACCCTCCTCCTGGCTATGACTGGTTGTTTCTGACCGAGCTACGTATTACTGCAGTTAGTACTGGGAACACTGGGAGAAGGCAGACGAGTTTGATTTTATTTTATTTTTTTCACAGATTATCTGTCTCATATAATACTGTCATAGTGAAAGCTTTAACAAATATGGGAAAAAAACATTTATTTATTTATAAAAGTTACATACTGTAGCTTTAAGAATTGGAATGAAAAGAAAGCACCTCAATATAATCCCTATTAATTTTATGTCCAAACAATTAAAAACATTTATTTGTGTTTAGCTTATGTGTGTTTGATAGGGTCATACCAGAGCCAGAAGAAGGAAGGGAATGAATGTTAGGAGCAGCAGCACCTTTTGTTAAAGAAAGAAAAACAGTATTAAAAGAAGAAATACACACAAAGACAACATTTTTTTGCATGTTACAAAATATGCTCTCACTGGAGGGATATCACTTGATCTAGAGTTTACTTATCTGGACATAATATAAAAGAATACATCAGGTCTTTACCATGTCAAGCTCATCTATTTTAAATGTTTATGCGACTGTGTTTTTCTGCTTGTTGTTGATATCCTACAGCATTTAGAAGACAACGCTACCTGGGAAGTGAGAAAACTAACTTAATCACATCAATTATTTTTTTCCATTCATGTCACTTTGTATCTCCAATAATATGATTTTTGGACTGTGTTGCACAAATACACATGAAGAATTAATGATACATAGATTTATTGTAACTGTAAAACATCCCTTTCATGCATGTGGTCACTGCAGTGGACAGCTGTCTAAAAGCCATTTTCTTGTGCTTCTTGTGGATTTTTATGTTATAAATGCACACAGACCACCGATGTGGACACTAAAGCATCATAAAATACACTATCAACTACTGGCCATCAGCTGCAAATGTAAGAAATTATTTTTGTCAAATCTAATATGGCCGACAAACAAAAACACATGCCAACCGACCCGATCCCTCCTTCAACTGTAGACGACTCTTGCAGGTAAAAAAAAATATTGTGACATCAGATAACCCCTAAAGAACAACACTACTGATGTATTTTTCAAATAACAACTTTGTATTTGGAGATAATTACAATTGATCACCTAAAACCTACCTTTCCGACAGTCATTTCAGGACAGGATAATAAATGCCTGATGGTAATTTCAGTAAAATCTCCTCTTCAGTCTTGATATTTCTCAGTGATTTCAACACTGATTTTATTTGTAATAAACATTGTGGTTTTGCTTGCAACAATTCTTAAATATGTGTTGTGTTTAACTACAAACCTCTGGAAAGCTTGGAAACTCTTCCTGTTAAAGAAAATGAAGATGGTATTAGAATAAAGCAAAGTTCTTAGAGATAATTAGTATTTATTTATTTTATTTTATTTTTTTGATTTGGAAAACCAGTGTTAGAAATATAATCGAAAACCTGTTCTTAGGAGGAAAACAAAGAAGTCAAAAGTAAGGAGCTAACAGTAGAAGAGGAGAGTAAGAAAGAAACTGGAATTTCCGTGCGTTCAATAACATGCATGGTATATAAGTCTATAAGTCGTAAGTCAGTGCCTCACCAGCAGTGAACCTCACCGCACGTCACTGATACAAAATGTTTTTCTCTACCTTTTTCATGTCTTAATAAAATTAAAATAAAATCCTGACACAATGGATCGAAATTCATGCATGGAAGGGTTAAATTAGGTACTTTTACATTTATGTTTGATATGTAATTTGTTTGGTTTGTTTCAACAAAGTTTGTGTGTAACACGTTTAAATGTTGTGTGTTTTGTTACTTCAAACACAACATTCACATACTGTATTTAACCTACGAGGAACAGGAGAAAAACTGGGAACAGATCCTGCAGCTCATGTGACAGAAATGGATAAGAATACTAACATTATTTTTATTTATATCCATTAGGAACTATTGTACCATAGTCACCAAAAAGAACAGGAAAAGAATGAATACTGAGAACACTATATCTTCAGTAACATGTCACGGTCAGCAGTGTCTGCACTGAGGTCCAACAGCAGCAGCACTGGGGGTCTTCCAGTACTGAGAGCACAGCACTGGACCGAAAGACGTCAAAGCTTCTGACCGAAAGGCGTCATAAGCTTATTAGCTTCTGATCAATTAGTCATTGATCAGAAGATAATCAGCCTATTTCTCAGTGATTTCAGCATTTATTTTATTTGTAAACAGTAAGAATATTGAGGTTTTGCTTGAAGCAATTCTTAAATATTTGTTGTGTTTAACTACATACCTGCAGAAGGGGTCATTAAAGGGACCCAAGCTCTTCCTCCTAAAGAAAAGGAAGATGGTGTTAGAATAAAGCAAAGTTCTTAGAGATAATTAGTATTTAATGATTTTTTGATTTGGAAAATTTTGTCATAAACATAACTGAAAACTTGTTCTAAAGAGGAAAAAAAAGGTAAAGGAACGACAGGAAGAGAAGATGGGAAGAGGAAACTAAGACAGACAAAAAGAAGTAGTTCTAGGTTATTAACACCTTCTAGGTTATTAACACCTGCTCAAGGTATTTTTGGTTGTTTTCGTCCTTTAAGCTTCTACAATGTGACTTCTGAAAGCATCTTGTTGAACATCTAATTCTAGATGATTTTACCTTTTCGACAGTCATTTCAGGACAGGATAATAAATGCCTGATGGTAATTTCAGTAAAATCTCCTCTTCAGTCTTGATATTTCTCAGTGATTTCAACACTGATTTTATTTGTAATAAACATTGTGGTTTTGCTTGCAACAATTCTTAAATATGTGTTGTGTTTAACTACAAACCTCTGGAAAGCTTGGAAACTCTTCCTGTTAAAGAAAATGAAGATGGTATTAGAATAAAGCAAAGTTCTTAGAGATAATTAGTATTTATGTATTTTATTTTATTTTTTTGATTTGGAAAACCAGTGTTAGAAATTTAATCGAAAACCTGTTCTTAGGAGGAAAACAAAGAAGTCAAAAGTAAGGAGCTAACAGTAGAAGAGGAAAGTAAGAAAGAAACTGGAATGAGAAAAAATGAGACAGAATGCAACAATATTCAGTTTTACAAGGTAGATATGTTAATTAATTTTCCACTGGATAAAAAGTGGCATGAATGGGGGTCCATTTAAGAGGATCTTGCCCCAGTTAGGCTATCAGCTGACCTGAAAGCCAATAATATGATTTTTGGACTGTGTTGCACAAATACACATGAAGAATTAATGATACATAGATTTATTCTAACTGTAAAACATCTTAGACAAAAATATTTACTCATCAACCCTTTCATGCATAGTGGTCACTGCAGTGGACAGCTGTCTAAAAGCCATTTTCTTGTGCTTCTTGTGGATTTTTATGTTATAAATGCACACAGACCACTGAAGTGGACACTAATGCATCATAAAATACACTATCAACTACTGGCCATCAGCTGCAAATGCAAGAAATTATTTTTGTTAAATCCAATATGGCCAACAGACAAAGAAGCATGCCAACCGACCCGGTCCCTCCTTCGACTGCAGACGGCTCTTGCAGGTAAAAAAAATATTGTGACATCCAATAAGCCCTGGGGGATGTAGAAGCGGTAGCTAATCTACCACAGCAATTATTTATAAGTAAAACATTAAACCTAAAACGTACAACAACATACTGAATATTCTGTTCTTTGTGCAAAATTCTTGAATGTTTTTTAGTGTTAAATCCTAAAACATTAAGTGGCATTGTTGTCGGTTGCTATGGTAACGAGTCTGCGTGTAGCTTGGCGGATACTTTCCCTTTGCTGTGGATCATAGCACGAAATCAATATCTACATTTCTAACTTTTGCTGAGTTAACGCGGCTATGGATGACATGTAAAAGATTAGTCTTTTTGCCGCCCAGCGTTGTGTGCCTGCGCAAAATTTCCGTGCGTTCAATAACATGCATGGTATATAAGTCTATAAGTCGTAAGTCAGTGCCTCACCAGCAGTGAACCTCACCGCACGTCACTGATACAAAATGTTTTTCTCTACCTTTTTCATGTCTTAATAAAATTAAAATAAAATCCTGACACAATGGATCGAAATTCATGCATGGAAGGGTTAAATTAGGTACTTTTACATTTATGTTTGATATGTAATTTGTTTGGTTTGTTTCAACAAAGTTTGTGTGTAACACGTTTAAATGTTGTGTGTTTTGTTACTTCAAACACAACATTCACATACTGTATTTAACCTACGAGGAACAGGAGAAAAACTGGGAACAGATCCTGCAGCTCATGTGACAGAAATGGATAAGAATACTAACATTATTTTTATTTATATCCATTAGGAACTATTGTACCATAGTCACCAAAAAGAACAGGAAAAGAATGAATACTGAGAACACTATATCTTCAGTAACATGTCACGGTCAGCAGTGTCTGCACTGAGGTCCAACAGCAGCAGCACTGGGGGTCTTCCAGTACTGAGAGCACAGCACTGGACCGAAAGACGTCAAAGCTTCTGACCGAAAGGCGTCATAAGCTTATTAGCTTCTGATCAATTAGTCATTGATCAGAAGATAATCAGCCTATTTCTCAGTGATTTCAGCATTTATTTTATTTGTAAACAGTAAGAATATTGAGGTTTTGCTTGAAGCAATTCTTAAATATTTGTTGTGTTTAACTACATACCTGCAGAAGGGGTCATTAAAGGGACCCAAGCTCTTCCTCCTAAAGAAAAGGAAGATGGTGTTAGAATAAAGCAAAGTTCTTAGAGATAATTAGTATTTAATGGTTTTTTGATTTGGAAAATTTTGTCATAAACATAACTGAAAACTTGTTCTAAAGAGGAAAAAAAAGGTAAAGGAACGACAGGAAGAGAAGATGGGAAGAGGAAACTAAGACAGACAAAAAGAAGTAGTTCTAGGTTATTAACACCTTCTAGGTTATTAACACCTGCTCAAGGTAGTTCTGGTTGTGTTCGTCCTTTAAGCTTCTACAATGTGACTTCTGAAAGCATCTTGTTGAACATCTAATTCTAGATGATTTTACCTTTTCGACAGTCATTTCAGGACAGGATAATAAA